GACAGCGGATAGTTGGGCTTGAAGCTCTGGAGGGCATCCACAACGAATTCGTAGCCGAATCTCTGCAAGCGTAGTATGGCCTGAACGGCCGCCTCCTGGATGCCAGGCCGCGGCACCGCCACGAGGATCCGTTTGAAGAGCGCTAAGTAGCCAGTGAGATCCACATTACCGGCCAACCGCAGCTGCTTGATAATCATCGATGTGCACTGCACCAGGCTTTCCATGCGCGCATCGTACTCCTCATTTTGTACGCACAAATCACAGTAGTTGTTGACCAGCGGGATTAGCTGTTGCGATAGTACGTTGGTCACGTTCAGCTGGATGCTTCGTCTGCAGAAGAGGGCAAAGGCATAGCTCAGCTGATATGTGCGGCCCGCTTTAATTTTCCCCATCAGGTTCTCGATCACCTTCTGCTTCGTAGGCTCAAAGGGCTGGAAGTGATATTCGTACCGCAGCTTGGAGATCAGCGCACGCTCGGCTCCATGCTGATCGCTGACATCGTACGAATAGCACATGAGCAGATGCTTTATGACCGTGATCAATGGATCACTGTGATCATATGATCGCTCCTCGCGATGCGGCAGCACTGTGGGATAATGAGTGAGCACCTCCAACACCAATTGCGGCATCTGTGTGCTGTAGTGGTAGAGTATTTTGGCTAGGAACAGGCGCGCTGGATTCTCATAGTTCTCAGGATCGGCTTGCATTGCCTGCAGTCTAATCAATTGTAAAAAGAGCTTGACACACATGAATGCCACTGGGTCGGAGAGTCGATCCTTCGGGTTGAACAAACGCTGCTCCAACGCCTTCATGAAGTGCCCTATAAACGAGCTATTCTCACACTCGAATTGCTTAACCAGCGTCAGCACACGTTGCAGGACAACCATATCGTTTGCACCTGCTTCGTTTGCTGCAACATATGCCGCTATTAAGACATTGATTACATTTTGCTCGTCTATTCCTATAAATTCAGTAGGCGTCAGTTCCAACTCATCTGATTGCTTAAGATATTCGATTATCTGAGAAGTCAGCTTATCCAGCCTCTTTCTTGGCTTGTGATTCTTGTGCTTCTTGATATCAGCCTTGTACGCGTTGATCATGTAGCACAGCAGCGCCTTTGGCGCACCCAGGTTATTTTGGCGCCCAGGTAACTCCAGTGGAATTTCTATGGGCTCGCTGCCATTCGTTTCACAGCTATCCGACGGAGCGGGCGACATAGGCGAGCTCTCGTATAGGCAGCTTTCTTGCACTGCTGTTCCATTGCTCGACTCTTGATTATCCGCATCCAGCTGAAGCTGCTTGGCTTGCAAGCGCGTGAGACGCTTCGCGGTGCACCGTGATTCGAATGATTCATTCATGCTGCTGTTTCGCTTGCGTTTGCGCTTTCTATTTTGCTGCTTATCCTCATCGGAATACTCCGGGGTTAGGTACAGATCCACAAGTGGATCAGAAGCATTCGATTCGGATGAATTGCTTATCACAGTCGGGCTATCTACATTATTTTGAGGACATGTGTCTTCATCATGATCGGAATCGCTGTGAAGACCGGAATTGATGACTGGGTTCTGGTCCATGGTGTCCACATCGGATTTGCTTGAATCTTCAGACATTTCGGGCATGTGCTTATCAATCAATACTGATGGTAAAATCTCATTAATCGGTTCGTTATCGGTCTGAATATCTTCATTGATAATTAAATTTCTTTCCTCGATGTCCGTATCGTAATCTTCTGATTCATCAATTGTTTCACATTTGATTGCGCTTGTGTCTTGCTTTGTGATCTCAGTAGGAATAATCACAGCCAATTTGCTTTCATCCATATCATGACGATCCGTATCATCGTCCACACTTTGATTGGAATCGACTGATTTATCATTTATCGTCGACTTTTTCTTGAGTGCAATACGCTTGCTTACTCTTCGCATGCGTTTTACCGGAGAAACTGTGACAGCACCCTGTGAAGATTGCTTTGCTTCATTAGTACGAAGTTTTGTATCCTCCGCATGAGGATGACCATGGCTGGTGACTGAAGTCTCTTCGGTAGATTCAGATAGAGAGTTAAATGAGCTACGTTTACGTCTATTGCTGGTGACTGCATTCTCTTCTCTAGCGTCCGACTGAGACTCAGATGAGATACGCCCACGTGTATTGTTTGTATGATCCGCATGGGGATGACCATCGCTGGTTACTGAATTCGCCTCTTCACTAGTTTTAGTTGGCGACTCAGATAAGCCGCCTATACGTAAATTGTTTGTATCGTCCTCATGAGAATGGTCGCTGGTGACTGAATTCGCCTCTTCACTAGTTTCAGACCGCGACTCAGATAAGCCACGCTTACGTATATTGTTTGCATCCTCCGCATAAGTATGTCCATCGTTGGTAACTGAATTCTCATCTTCACTAGTTCCTGAATGAGAATCAGATGAGTTACGCGAACTTAGCTTCCGCTTGCGCTGCAACCGATTTGTCTTATCGCCACCAAGATCACCATTATTGACGACCGAATTGGGCTTCGGCGGTGTATCTTTATGCCGGACATCGCAATCATTGGGTATCTCCTCTTCCGTGTTGTTTGAGTTCTTGGAGCTTAAGCAGATAATGTCAGTATTTACTTCATTAGCAACTACTTTCCCGTTTTCAAACGCTTCTTCATCTGCCGAGTCCGAATCACTGCCAAACAGGGCCATAAAATCGACATTAGCTGCATGTGTGTCTAACGGTTCTGGACTGGTTGACTGTGGTTTATCCACATTTAAAGATTCATCCATTATCGGAATAAAGTCCTTGAAAACAGGAGATGTGATCGGTGGCAGCATATTATTTGCTGTTGCAGATGCCAGTTGCATCAATTCGCGTTCTTCCGCATTCAGCTGAATGTCTAAGTTATCACAGTTAGAGTTGTGGAAATCACTTAAATTGGTTAGGAAATTAACTGCAGTTTCTGTGGGTGATGTGGGTCTTGATTGCTCCTTCTTCTTATTCTTCTTCTTTTCCTTCTTCTTCCTCTTATATTTCTGTGAGCATGAGTTTTGTTCTGTAATCTTTGGCTTGGTATTAAGTTCCTCCATTTTCTTGAATTGAGTCAGTCGTATCGGTGTTAGTTCCAAGCCCATTTCCGGAGGCGGTGTTTCTATGGAACGATTACGATCATCAGGTGGCAATTCTTCATCTACAGGTGCCATATATTGTTCTGCAAGGATAATAATGAGTTTTTGTTTTATGGAAATTAATGAAGCATTACTGACTTACCCTTATTACTAATGTCGATGCTGGGTGCATCGTTATGAGTCTGGTGGCTCTCGTACAGCGAGCAAAACCATTCGCGAAAATCTGCCTGGCTAATGGAGTTCGCAGGCCTACTTTGTAGGGCAACCAGCAGCATTTGGCCCACGACTTGCCAGATCTCCTCGAAGTCCTGGGGTGGCATCTTGTCGAGAACACGTTGACTGTGCGGCAAAAAGTTGAACAGCTTCTTTGCCATGGTGTGACTGTAGCTATCTGGTGTCGCTGCATCGATGGGCGTCGTCAGCTCATCCTTGACGCTGTCGTGCATGGTTCGTGATGGCGGCCGGGAATCCGAACGTTTCAATTGAGCTGGCAGCACGGGCAAGTAGTCAATCTCTCGATGGACATCGCATATGTCCGTATTAGTGCCCACATTAATCAGTGGCAGCTCTTCGGGTACAAATGGCTCATCAGGGAGAGGGCTCATCGGCATAATGTTCCACGTTAGTATCTTCTCCAATATTTGATAAGCGTCAAGAGGGGGTTCCGGCTGTGGAAAGCAGGTGCCCACAGTGCGTGTTTTGATGAGCGCGGCAGTCGTCGTACCGCGCGTTGTTGTGGTATTCTTATGCTGTATGCCCTGATCTCGTGTGGTCACAAATCTCTCGCTCTGTACGGCAATCGAGCACATCATAGGCTTGGTGGGCGCAGAGGCATGTGCGACAAATGGTTCTGTCGAAGTTCCTTTCGTTGCAGTTATGCTTTTTGCTCGTTTCTTCGTTGGGCTCTTCGAAAGAGGTACAGAAATATCTGCCGACTTGCAATAATCTTTTAGCTTGCGCAGCATATTATGCTCGGCCCGCGTTAGGCCGCCTGAACAGGGATCCCCTTGAATGCGCAGCGCTAGTTGCATAAAAAGAATGACCATATCTTTACCGTCAACTGGCAGACACTTAAGCTTCGCTTCCGCCTGCAGCTGTTCACAGTCTAGCTTTAGTACGTCCAACTGTTTCTCCAGATCAGAGCAACGCTCGCTTTCTTCAAGTGCTCGGCGCTCGAGTTCGATGCGTTGTTGCTTCTCTTGCTTATACAACTCTGTTACCTCGCTGGCGGTACGCTTTATGCTGCACAGCTGCTGCTCCTGTCCCTCAAGCTCCTTCACACGGCGCACTAGCTCATCGTTGTCGGCAATGAGGTCGCCGATTAGCAGGCGCTTTTTAGACAACTTCCCGTTTGTGGACACCATTTCATTTGGCGATCGCTCAATTGGTGGACTTAGCAGAAAACCAAAGTCATCTAAACTAAAATCATTAGACATTCTGTTTTTCTTTTCTCCTTCTTTTCTTGTAATTTTATTATGTTTGGTTTCACGTGTTTGCCGCGAGCGGTAAACGTTTACGATTCGAGCCTAGCCGCGTGCTGTTTTGCATGCAACCGCAATAATGTTAGGTATTTCAATACCAAAAACATGCATTTCAATCAAATTACTACCGGCAGACATTAAATAAAAGAAGAAATAACTTAAAATAAAACCACCGCGTTTCACTGCCGGCGTGTTATTATTGACACTGGACATGACAAACAGTGTGACCGTAGAAGAACATTTTAAAACTGAAGATAATTAATAAACAAAAATATAAAAACCAAGTAGTCGAGGTCGATTAACAGGATAAAAACACAATCAATTGATTTTGTTATATTCATTCATTCAATATTGTAAGCATACTACAAGCACTTTCTTTTTCATAAATTTTTTATTGTATATATATTTAAAATACTGAGAGTTGACAGTCCCAAGAGTCGCAACCAACTTCACAGTTGACCAGGGCTGCAGAACCACATTGAAATATTGTGGTATTCTCTGAGTTTTGCACAGGTACGTAACTGCGGCATTCGCAACGAAAATTACATAATTTTTTAATCTTTTTAAAATTAATTAAACGCACAGTAAACAAATCGCAACCATGTCCGACAAAGCTGCAGCTCCGAAACCTGCTGGACGTCCGATGAGATATCCATACACTTTCTCGGCTAAAATTGCCCAATTCCCAATCAAGCATTACATTAAGAATCAATGGATCTGGCGCTACTACTTCATTGCCGCAATCGCTTGCGTGCCTGTGTTCTACAAGATCAGCCGATTGGGTAAGAATCCATTATAAGGATCTACTTCTTATTGCATACATACTAATGTTTATTTTTTGTGCAGCCAACTCGCCCGAGAACAAGAAGGCATGGGCTGCGAGCAAGGCTAAGGAGGCTGCCGAGCACCATTAACTTGCTAAGCTCAGTGTGCTGCCATTGAATTAGTTGTTTAAAGTTGCATCTACATTTCGAAGCCGCTTCAGGTGGCATAACTTGAATATTGATTGGTGAATAAATGATTTAAAACGTATTTTGGTTTTACATTCATTGATAAAATAAGATTCGGCTGAAAACCATTCACGTCAGCGTGTTGTTGACATTCACAGTGAATGCGACAGCGTTGCCAGTACTCTTTTTTGCGTAATTTGGCAACATTTTCAGCCAGCTGCTAAAAATTGCCATCGTGAGCAAATATTGTAAAGCGGTTTTATAACAAAATTGTTTTTAAGGTAAATAAAAATGGGTCACAAAAGCATAGTCCCAATATTATATTATGATTAGGTTTCCATACCTCTAAGCTACGCAAATTTCTATATTTTCAAGCCAGCAAAATGGTTATAAAAAGCGAACAGGTACATATGTAGCCTCATTAACTATTAAACTAGTGGAAATGTATTACAACTTATTTTATTTGGCATTCGTAGTTAGATTGGAAAGCTATTAGTAAATTTTCTATATAGTCGTGCCTATTATATTGCTTATCTTCATTCAATAGGGCTCATCGACCTCTGCAGTTACAAAGCAGAAGAAGCAACGGCAACGCAATCGTCCAAGAAATAAACGAAACCGTCTGGAAGATATCGAGGATAAGTCAGAACAGGATAGCACAATGCAAAAATCGAGTAGTAATCCACAGCAGAATGCATCAGCAGATAAAACGCGCGAGCAGGTGATGGCCGAACGTGAGGCCAAAAAGCAAGCGAAACTGGCGAAGAAACAGAAATCCATCACGCCAGCCACGACAATTATAACCGAAGTTGAGCAAACGACGATCACTCAGAAGCTGACGACCACGACGACAACAACAACGAAAGAGCAAAGCCAGCTGCCGCTACGCTCTACAAATGTCGCTGACCCAAAAACTGCATCTCAATCATCTTCACAGAACTCCACAGATTCTTTTAACCCAACTGCTCCAGCTAGTGAAAAAACGCGTGAGCAAATCAAAGCAGAGCGCGAGGCGAAAAAAGCTGCCAAACAAGCTGCTAAATCCGCCAAGTCCAATAACGTGGATGCCGCAGCGAAGCAATTAAATAACCTGCAAGTTGCGACCAAGAATGAATCTGCCCCAGCCGCAGCTGCAACAGCTACAGGTGCATCTGCAGCAGCGGATCATGAAAAGGTGGGTGAAAATTAGTTTTCAGAGTATTTAAGCTCGTTTTAGGAAATCATTACTAACTCATTTCATCCTCCTCTGCAGAAAAAGCCAGCGCTTACTAAGGCGGAGCGTCGAGCCATTCAGGAGGCGCAACGAGCTGCCAAGGCGCAGGGACAAGCGAAAAAGACAACTGCGACGCCTGGAGCTGTTAAGTCAGCAGCAGGGAACAGCGTTAAGGCGACGCCAAATGTGCCTGCCACGACCCACAAGGAACACAAACATGACAAAGACGACAAGGAAGAATCACCTGCCAAGTCGCCATCAAAGGGTGGGACAGTCAAGGCGGATCGAGAGTGCAAAGTGAAGCTGTTCAATCATTTGGTTAGCGCTGACAAAGACGCCAGCTTATTTATTAACGATCCCAACGTACATCCGAGCATGGCTCGCCTGGGTGTGCAATATGCTCAGCGGACAATTGTTGGATCCAATGCGCGCTGCATTGCATTTCTGCATGCACTGCGGCAGGTGGTGCAGGACTTTGAGACGCCCGCCAAGAAGGAGTTCGGACGCAGTCTTGACGTGGCAGTCAAGCATCATGTGGATCATCTGAACAAATGCCGACCGCTGGCCGTGTCGGTGTACAATGCCTACAAGCAGTTCAAGAATCAGTTGACGCAGCTGCCAACAGACACGCCCGAAACGGAGGTAAGCAGCTGAGCAGTGAGTGATTGGAGACACCGATTAATAAATGATTCTATTGTTTCAGTTAAAGGAGCTTCTCGGGCACTTTATAGACACCTATATAGAGAATCAGATTGGCAAGGCAGCGCAAGCTATTAGCAGTTCTATGCAAGAGAAGATCACAGACGGCGATGTTCTGCTCACCTTTGCCTGCTCATCCCTCATTCAGTTCATCTGCGAGGAGGCCAAGCGGCGCAAGGTGACGTTCCGAGTAATTGTCGTCGATTCACGGCCTTTCTGCGAAGGACAGGAGATGCTGCGCCGGCTGCACGCATGCGGTATACCGTGCACCTATGTGCTCATCAACGCCATCAGTTACGTAATGCCGGAGGCCACCAAAGTGATGCTGGGAGCGCATGCGCTATTAGCCAATGGATATGTGATGGCCAGAACGGGCACAGCCCAAGTGGCGCTCGTTGCCAACTCCCACAACGTGCCTGTGCTCGTGTGCTGTGAGACGCATAAGTTCAGTGAACGTTTCCAGACTGATGCCATTGTCTACAATGAGTTGTGCGATCCCAATCTGCTGGTGATGGATGAAAAGTGCTCCCTCAACAACTGGCAATCGAAGAGCCGATTAACGCCACTCAACCTGAGCTACGATATAACGCCACCCGAGCTGGTCAGCGCCGTTGTCACCGAGGTGGCCATCCTGCCTTGCACCAGCGTGCCCGTCATTCTGCGCATCAAGCCCGATATTGGCTATTGAGATGTTTCGCCTAGATAAACTTAAATGCGGATCATGGACAATTGTTGAATAAATAATCATTTTATTATATTTTGATCAAACATTTTTGCATAGTACATTTACGGCTTGAAAAGCAGCTTAATTGCCCGACAGCTAGCAGTAGACATTACGATAGTTATCTTTTTAAATTGAACTGTATCCATGCAATTGTATGCTAACGGTATCTAAGTATACACATACCTAGGTATGCAATAATATGTAAGCAATTGTACTGTCTTGTTTGTGTGAGATATATGTTGAGGCAAGAGGTTCGATTCAAGTTTCACATAAACTCCTTTGTCATGGAAAGCTCAACCAATTTAAGAAAATATAAGTTTACACATGGAATGCTGCCTGAACAGAGATTCTGTAATATTAAGTTAAAAGTTTATGTCCTAAGAAATATAGACCATTAAACGCCAGCTAAGGCCCTGATGAACAGCATAATTTAAAATACGAATTATATTTTGGAATTCAATTATAAACGACAGTGATTTTTGGAATAGGCCTGAACATCTAGAAAAATAGATTATTGAAAACAAAAACAACAACAACATAAAGTAGATTTGTGCCCGACTAGGCGAAGTTCAATGGTATATGTATGCGCACGACTGGAAGCTTTGCCTAGCTTGAATGCTTATTGGTTGATTTTGCACGCTATAACTCGAAGGTTAGCTACAACTACAAATGCAACAATAAATATAATATAATAATATATGTATCTCAATATATATATAKATGTACCGGTATGTTAATCCGTGTATATGTATTTAATGCCACAAAACACAACCGAAACAAATTCGGCTCACTCTCGCACGCTTGCCACATTCACTCCGCGTCACATGCTCAACAATTTACAACTAGGATTATGCTAGAATTGGGCTTAAGGACTCTGCTTTTGCATCTGTCGGAAGCAGCCACGACATACGGGCACCGGCTTGCCACTGTCGTGTCCAGGCAACGCCACATTCTTATCGATGCAGCGCTCGCAGAAGATCTCCCCGCAACGCCAGCAATGTGTCTGGAAGAGAGGCAAGGCACATGAATTGGATGAGCTGTCATGTGGCTGACTAAATAGCTAACCTTTTTGCTGAATTGATCAAAGGGTGTGGAGCAGGAGCAGGTGGTTACATTTCGCATGGATTTCCAGTCCAGCGCCACCGACGAGATTTCCTCGCTCAAAGCTTGCGGGCTCGTTTGTTCGGCATTTAACGACAGATTCGCAAATGACATGTTGCTCGCCTTCAGGGGATGATCATCGTCGGCAGCAGACAATTCGCTTAGCTTCTTGTCGTAATTATATCTGAAAATATGGATGGTTAACGATTTCTGTATATTTTGCATTCAATGTGTTTGGGCTACTTGTTGTCATTGATCTCATTGGGGGTCGGCTCCTTGGTAACTTTGGTGGTGGTTGTGGTGGTGGCATCCTGCAGCTTCTTGGCCGACTTGGAAATGTAGTTCTTGAAGCTGGCAATGCGCTTCGTCAGGTGCTGCACGTGATCCTCCAGCGAGTTACAGTGCTCCTTGCTGTCCAGCAGCAAATCACCCAGAGGCTCGCGCGGATGTATGCCACTCTCAAAGCGGCTGTACATGCCACGCCAGAATCTATAAAGTATGCAAATTAGAGAGAGAAAAATCTAAGTTTGATCGACTGTGGACTTACTTGATGCATTGCGGCGCCAGATTGGCTTTGATCGATTCGTCCACGTTGGGTTTGTACAGCGGATTTATATACTCGTTCAGGTGGTTCGACATGTAGCCCCACAGCGAGAAAGTGCGCTCGGCCAGCTTCAGGTCCAATCGATCCTTCTCACAGTTGCCCACAAAGGTGCCGAACTGGCACGAGTGCACATGATCGTGCAGTATCAACAGAAAACGCTCATTGAACTCAAACGACTCGCTCCGCTGGGACATTAGCTGCCAGGTACAGTCCAGGAATTGTGTGAATATGGGCGACACCTCGCGCGCATCTGTCTGAATGTGGCCGCAGCGCTCGCTAAACTTGTGCCCAAACGCCAGCCAGTCCTTCTCGATGAGGGCCTGAAAGCCCTTGATTGTGCGATAATAAGGATTCAGCATTAGCTGGGCCAGCGAGCAAACTTGAGCGGTGCGATCCCAACCATCAGAGCAGTGCACCACCACAGAGATGCCCTTGTCGACGGCATTGGCAATGAAGCTAAGAAACGAATTACATTAATCTTAATCCTTAAATGCCAAACTGCCTTAGGGCACAGGCTGATGTTTACTCTACCTCGACGTGTCCAATATGGAGCGAATGTGTTTCAGCCAGCCGGATGACTCGAGGGCATTCAGAAATGCGCTCATCGTGGGTGACTTCTGTTCGCAGGCCTCCAGCACCTTCTGCAGGCTGGCGCGCTGCACGTGAATGTTCTCAATGCCGAGGAAATGGAACTTGATGTTCTCGTAAAATGCCTCGTTCTCGTAGCCCTTGCCGGCGGCACGATTGGCCATGGCATTGATCTGTAAGCAAAGCAGGCTGAGTGCCGTTGCCTATTTACATATTGTTTTGCATTTGCACTTACGCGCGGTCGCGTATCCACAACAAACATATAATCGTTATTGGGATTGGTTTTGCGAATGGCCTCCAGCATTTGCTCGTCCTCGAGACAGCGCGCACTGAAGCCCGACAACGGCTGGCTGCAGCGGCATATGGACGCCTGTTGAATGTATTAGACATCGATATTATATAGATTACTTATGTATGTTGTGTTTTTGGGGCGCTACCTTGTTGTTGTGCAAGTAGGTCAGAGCGGGCAGGCGACCCTTGGAGCGAAAGCGCGAGCTGCTTATCAGCATCAACGTGGTGGCCTCTTTGGGCACATAGATCTGACGCGGATACGTGTCGCATAGCTCGTACTTCTCGTTCATGGAGCACAGGGTCCAGTTCTCGTTGGGCACCAGCATGTGCTTGAACTCTGCCTCCAACTTGAAGAAGTCCCAGCCGACGTTCTTGGGAAAGTCATCCTTGGCCGGCTGATAATTGAAGCAGTACAGCTTGTTGATGGAGACTAAGAGGCCGAAACAGATTAGATGAGACATAAAACTAAATGGATTGGAGTGCTGCCACCTACCCGGCTGAAAGAGTTTGATTAGCGATGTGTAAACGTCATGGCACTCGGAGTCCTTGGGTATGACAAATGTCACAGACAAAAACGTCTTGCAGCGTATCAGCAGCGGGGAGCCGGTGGTGCTGAGCGGCAGCTTCTCAATGCTGGCAATGTGCATGTGCAGAATCTGAAATGAGGGCGAGTCGTTAACATAGACACTAGTATTAATATATAGCGCACACTCAGCAGCAGCACAGACAATCTCAACTCATAATCAGTCAACTTGAAGCGGCCCTTTGCGTGACCACAGTTAATGGCCTTTGCAATGCCCGCAGGTCAGGCACTTTAGCTTTTACAAAGTGGTCCCTGGTGGCTAAGTGGGTGGTGCCTGGCGCCCACCCGCCTTATGACAGCAAAGCAAAATCGATAGTTAAAGCCTACACGACTCATAATTGGCAACTGGCTCTGCACACGAGTGCCCTAACTTTTAATTAACAGCATGGAGAGAGGGAGGCAAAGTGACGTTAATATGCTCATTTCTCGGCTCTCCAGCGAGTGAAGAAGCGAGCGGAGGAGCGAGCGACCACTTGTCGCGCCACTGCAAAGTGCATAATTGATATAATTACGGTGTAGCAATTAAAAGCGCCCTGCCCGAATGCACAACCAGCGCGAAAATGGAAAATAGAAGAAAAGCCAACTTAAACAGCAGCCACCAGGCGTCAAATGCAAAAGAGTTGAATGCAGCGGCGAACCATTCACATCAAAACTAAATGAATAATCGCAAGCTGCGAATCACCAAGGTCAGGAGCTGTCGAGCTGTTGACGATCCAAGTCTTTAGTAATGCGAGTTACTTGAAATTGCAGGGCTAATTGTATAATAAATATAATGATAGTATAACACATATAACATTAGCATATAGTATATTTATTTTAAAAAATGAAGCACATATAACACAATCGAATAATTAGTGTTTCTTTATAGAATATCAGATATCTACTAATGGGTCTATTATCTACACCTATTGGGAGACATGATAAATCGAGTTTTGTATACAGCCTTTGCTGAAAATATAATGATTTTTTGAAAATAGAGACTTAAATTACTAATATGTGAAAATAAATTGAGAGGTCTACAAAAATATTCTTCATAAATTACTTCCCAAATTCTAGATGTACAAGAGAATCCCGAGTTATATTAAAATATTTATTCCACAGACTTAGAGCTAGAACACAAATGGCATTGAAGCTTATATAATCTGCCCAAGTTAGGTATTACTATAATTATTTTAATCAATAAATAGATAACAAATTTTGTTAAAAGTGAAGTCACAGTAAAGACTGGAATAGAGTAAAGCTATAAAAACAAATATGCTTCAAAAAGGTATTGCCACAGGCAGTTTTGTGCAAATGCATCTTTCACTAGCAATTCTTATATAATCATTATCAATATTTCTACTAATTTTACTTATAATAAATTGCAAATTCGTCTTCATTCTGATTACAATTTATTCCTTTCACTATTATTAAGATATAGTCCAAAGCTACCCCAACCCAACCTGCAGTTTGGCTCCATCCTTAAGCCTAAGGCCTTTACTAAATACCCAAATCTGTTATCTCCCAGACGATTAGCATTTCTAATTTAATCTATCGCTGCTTATGTATTCCAATACAAGAAAAATCCTTTCTTTTTTGCTGTTTTTCTTTGCTGTCACGAGTTCCGATGCTTCTGCTGTGTCCTTTGTGCCTGGGACAGAGAATTGTGTATGAATGAAAATTGAATTGCAGCCGCTTAGCAGCAATTTGTTTGCGCTTGCCATTCATTCATTCAGTCTGTCCGTCTGTCAGTCTGTCAGTCTGCCAGTCGGTCCGGACCAGCAGCATTTCTGGCATATTGGCAGATTGTGCTGGCATATTTGTGTTTGCTTTGCCAATGTTTCTCTTACATTAGCGAATGTTTCACTTTTGTTGGATTTCGCCAGGGACTTTGAATGCATGTTTTGTGTTGCTGAATAATATAATGTAACGCCCACACACACACACATACACAATGAGACTCAGCGGGCACAGCGGGCACGTCGACATGGCATTTTAATTTGTATTTATGCAATGGGGCGTATACGCAATCCGCGCACGAGCCCCATTGTGTCGCTGTGCATTTGCGGCTAGTTCTGCTGGCCAGCACAAAGCGAGCGCGTTTTAATTAAATTGAAGACAGAGAGACAAGAGGAGGCTTAAAGACCAGGCCAAACTTTAATATGCACAACTTTTGTGTGCGCTCTGTGGCTTAGCAGCCTTGAGGCGGCTGCTAAGAAAAGAAACTTTGCAGCCAAGTGGCCGGAAGTGCGGGCCATGCCAGTTGTCAGCTAGGCATATATATATGTATATATATATACCTGCATATGTGCCTGCATGCAAGTAGCAGCACTCCAGGTACTCTATGACGAATGCCTGGCGCCGCAGTCGCTTTGAGCTGACGAGTTTCACCTGCTGCACAAAATGTTTAACGAGCGAGGTCAGAAATATAAACGCCAAGTGCAGAATTTACACACGTTCGCTGGGGCTGTGGGCGGGGCTGTGGGCGGTCCGCTGCCTGTGCTTAGCATTGCCTGCTTTTATCTTCAAATTAAAGCATATAAATATTAAACGCTTTTCGCTAGAGCTAAAGAGAAATTTTTCTAGAGTGCCGAGTTGAGTTTGTGGTTTTCCTTAAAAAGTTTTGCTCTTGTAAATTGTTTATGAAAGGTTAAAAGGCTAACAAATTGGCGTGAGCTCACAGACGCTGTAATAAAGTTATATATAGCTAAGAGTTAACAAAGTTGTGTGTAGAAATTTTAATAATTCTTGTATATATACAGGGTGCTCTTTTTATTGATCTCTCTTTTATATTTGGCAAACTCTATGCAACTTAGCTTACTAAAGTTGAATTAAATTTATTATGATATATAACACGCACACAACAGAAGAAGAGGAGCACTGTCGTCTGATCACCAGCTGATAAGATTTACTACTGAAGGAGCGCTGCAGCAGGCCCGCTCTATATATAGAGACCCGCTCAAAATGAAAGTCTAAGCTTGAGCCCCTGCCTCAGTGAGAGTTTACTCAGCCATCGAACAGAGAGTAAGGAATTGGAGTAGTCTATGCTATTCGCTGCACGCACACATTGACAAGGCATTGTCTTAAGCTGATGTTCGATGCCCAAGCATACAGAGAGTAGGAGAGACAACAAGTTGGATGGGCCGACAATCATATTAAGAATAGATTCTCTTCGTCTCTGAGTTCTAATGAAGAATGAATTAATATATTTGATATATCATTATCAAATTTCAAGTATTGCACATAAATTTAATCTTTAAATCATGAAATAATAATAATTTCTAATTATATTAACATTACCTAATTCGCAAAAAAATGCAAATAATTCACATGACCAAGTGGACTAAAATGTTTTTTCGTCGCTCATAAATAAATCATAATTGAAAGTGCTTCAGGGCCGGCAGAGTATTAGATATAATATTGTTGTCATTTTGAATATTTGAAATAAATTCATAATGCAACAATTTATGTGGCAGAGCAACATGTTTGCGGCAGGCTACAAACATTGTAAAAATAACGTGGCATGCCTCTGCGGTCTACTATATTTCCGTAACATACTTTTGCGGTTAGTGGAGGACAGCGCATATACACACACGCACACACACTCTATATGCCGTGCCGACAGTTGCCCAAAAAGAAAAAAAAAATAAATGAACCCAGAAAATGTTGGAAAAAGAAATTGCACAAACTTTTTATACCCTGTTTTTGCTTGAACTTGGCAAGCACCCACTCAGCTAAGAGGGAGTGAGACGGAGGGAGTGAGAGTGAGAGTGCGAGAAGCTGAAGGAGCACTCGAACCGTTTGGCCCATAAAATAATTGATGATGTCATAGGGGCGACTGCGGAGGCTTACCCATGTCTCCTTGTTGCTGTCAGGCTCCACGAATATCAAATGGGTGGCCGTCAGATATAAAGTGCCAACTGTGGGATTTTTCGTATTGTAGCGATCAATCATGCGCACATTTTCCACCTGTAAAAAAGATAAAGTAAAGAGACGCATTAAATATATTCAATACAACTCGCAACTCGAAGCACTATAAAAAGAATTTTATATTTATTATTTGCCATATACTATATGCAATGCTCTTTGCCTCACTCGCTGACGTCAGCCACACACAAGTTGCAGTGCAACCACCCACAAAACTACACCAAACACCACACACCCACCCACATACACACACACACACAAACAGCCAAACGGAAGCCCGAAAACTGAGTAAACAACATCAAAATGGTTGCAAATTATTTTACTGTCCGACAGTCAAGTGCAAAAGTTGGTCCTTGAAAAATTTATTTGAAAAAAGAGTTGTTTAATAGAAAATGAAATATTTTCATAAAATAAGTTTTAATTATTCATAATATAAAATGATTTAATTTCTGCTTAGATGCTGTTTAGATTTTAGTATAAGTTTATAACAAATTTTTTTGTACTTTCTACAACTTTAAATCAAGTTTTTATTATAATTGAGTTACATTATCAAGACAACGTTGCCAGATCTTCAAAGTAAAGCAAATACGTTATTATCAAAAGCTATGGTAACCCTCTTAGGATCAAAGGGAAATTCCCATTTGTCTAAGCTGAATTTCCTTGAATATGTGACAAATGCAATGTAACCGCAATTCGAATTGTAAATAAGATGAAACAAATTGAATAACGAAGACGTATGTGACATCAAATGAATTTCCCCAGTGCATAAAAGAGTCAGAGAGATAGATAGAGAGAGAGAGAGATAGGGTGAATATATTGCATTCGCAACAACTGCTTCCACTCTGTAGATTGATTACGTTTAAGAGAATAGACATTGCCAGAGTACAAACGGAAGGCAAAGGCAAGGGCGTTTATTACATTAATCCATTTACTAGTATACCCCAATGACGTCATTAGTAATGCATACGAATCAACAGCTATTGACTGAATTGAATGACAAGAACAAGGGCAAGGGCAAGGTGACAGTGCAGCTGTCTCAGCTGGGAAAATAACATTTGTACATAGATAGATCATTTAATTGTCGTTTTAATTGCATTTCATATTGTGCATAATTAAGTTCTATTTACACTTTAGTAAGACTCTTATTTATTGAGAATACTAGGAAGACTTTTAATGAAGATCTTTAAGTTTTCTAAGCCTCAAGACTTAAAAAAAAGAGACTAGAATATATTTAACAGAATAAACAGAGGAAGAAAATGTTGTTTTAAATATGTTAATAATCTTTCTCACGAAACAAATATTGAGTTTAATAGACAAGTTCTCAAATGCAATCAATGGATCATGTGATATGGCTATTCCATTCCATAATCTGTATATAGGCAACTTTCTACTATTCTATTCCATAATCCGTATATTCACGTAATCTCTCATTAAATTGTTTTGCCCAGCATAGTTTTTACTGAAATACCAGCTAGTAATTTTGCTGTAATGAAAGCCATATCAGTGTACAAGAAGCCACAATTATTTAATTGGCCAAGTTGAGAACAAAGTCTCGGGGTGTTGCAGCTCAGGCAACTATTTCCTGCATTCTAAGAATGAAAGGAACGCCATGGCGCAGTGGCATGTTGGGAATGAATGAGAGCATCGATGGATGGTCGCTCGGATAGTCGACCTACATAAAATATGCATGTGCGTGCCTGTCGGCAAGCGCTTGGCGAGCAAGGGAGAACTCTCCGGCTCTATGCATAGTAATTTGCATATTCCGGCAGGAGAGCAGCCGGTGGCGATTGTTACAAAGGAAATGCGAATGCGAAAATGTTGAGAAAAATTAGCCGAATATCGCTTGATTACTTTCGCTTGCATACATTTGCCTAATGAAACACGGGGAACTGGGTCGGGTCACCTTTTTCAGCACGCTGTTGCCGTTGTAGTAGACGGGCGCCTCGTTGAACTCCTCCTCGATCCAGGAGACGACCTTATCGGAGACAAATGGCGGCACTGGAACGCCCCACAGACGCTTGCCATCGGGCGGCTCCTCGGTCTCCGGTGATATATTATCGAAGCTGAGGCGCAGCGCCGACGTTGGCGACAATTGTCGTTCGATTTCATTAAACTTATTCATGAATCTCGTAAAATCCATTGTCACTGTGCCAAATTATATACACTCTGAGGCAGAGATACTCAGTGTTTGCTTTGGGTAAATGTTTATTGATTTTAAATCAACTTCAAAAGCAACGCCAGCAGCTTCTGCTTGCCCCTTAAATCAAATCACGTGAATCACCAGGGAGGCGGATTGTCCCTTCCACTACTTTCACTTTTCTTATTATTATTGCTATTATTTTTTTTCTTAGCACACAACCCTACATATTTATTTATGTATATACTGTATGTGTGCCACTTTGTTATTGCTGCCACTGCCACTGCCACTGTTGCCCCATCAATGTGTCTCTATGTGTATGTGTGTGTGTTATGCTTGTGTTATCAACTTTGTAGAGAGTGTAGCACTGCGCGGCGTTCGGACAGACGGACGACCGCTCCCGATGCTAACTCTGCGACGACTGTGAAAGGCGCGCGCTTAAAAGCATGCTACGAGCGCCCACTGGTACATTTCTGTTTTGGGGAAATTCTTGCGACTGGGAAATTTTCTCTCGTAGCACCGAGCGATAGCAAATGAAAAGGTACCATTCAAATACCCTGCGTTGAGGAAATAGGAGCGAGTATGCAGGGTGTAAGACAATTAAAGGCGGATAATATAGCAAAATATATATTGATTCTAAATAAAAAAACAATATTTCTATAATAAATATATTTTAGTATATAAGCATAAATGTACAAGTCTCTATTATATGATAACAAGATTTAGTTCGATTATGAATTTGTCTATAGGTTTGTGAGGTTGTCTATAGAGTATTTCATAGTCAGTCATTAATACTTATATTTTTCTGTTAGTTTACCTTCAGTAACTATGTTGACTAACAATCTGATAACCAAGCTTAATGAGTTATCGCAAAAAAATCTATTTAATTAATTGATTTCCTATTGAACTTTAAATATTCTTTTTACACTTCTGAATTTAAATTTTAAATATATAGCAGAAACTGCAACAAAAATAAAAAATGTTGACTATGCAAATTGTTTACATTTAGCAAATTAAATGAAATTTTAACGAGTTTATATAATATCTTTAATTTAGCGCATTGATCAAGAATTCAACTCTTTAATAAAGAGGGCGTTGAGGCAGGTAGTTCACCAGTAGCAAAGACTTTGTAAACTGTAATAAGCTTTGTATTTTCACATTCAATTTCTATATATGTATGTACATAAACGTATATTTATAAACACATACATATATACTAATATATTTGCGTTACTAATGAAGGTAATTATTTGCGCTAGTGTAAAAGATCGCACAGATGCCGTAGAACAAAGTTGGAAATGTAAAAGTAAATTGGATGTAGTCTGAATTTTTGTTCACGTTTATATGGTTCGCGCTTATGCGCATGATTTACAGCTATGTTTATATGCATATGTTGTGAACAGGTGGGGGCGGCATGCCAAGCCATGGGCAACAAGGCTGTCTCGTCCTTGGCCCCACCCTTACGGGGGGGCGACGCAAGGGTTGGCCCTTGCCGGGTCAAACAGACGTGTGTTGTTGCCACTGCTGCTGCTGTTTCTATTTCAGAGAGAGAACAGGAGGAACAGTTTCTACCTGACCATCGATTTTGAATTAAACATAAAAGTTTCCAATTGCATGACTCAGCTCACAGCTGGCGCCAGGACAGGTGCGACTGATAAATGGCTTACTTCACACATATCAGCATGCTGAACACTTATCCGCACTGATTAAACTAAAATATATATTTACATACCTTTGCCAGCTTGATATCGTCCATTGTTTACGTTTTTTTCTCTTGTTCGTTTCACTATGAACTGGCTGCCTTGAGCACTGCACGGATTCTTCACGGCCCGTGTTTCTGCTTGCACGGCGAATTTAATCAATTACTCACGTTGTATTTAATTTTTATTTAACATTTTTTACTGAAACATATTGCAGTTTATAATAGTTATAAATTGGGATTGTTGATATGCTATCGATACATTAATTTTCGATACAATACTATCGCTAAGGCTGCACCCTATGTGCAGAAGCTCAACGATAGGTTTTCACTGTGGTGCTGCCACCTCGATTGCAGGGTAGTTATTTTGAATATGCAGCTGTGTGGTAGCGCTGCATTCCGTTAATTTGAATTTGAGTAGTGCTAAAAATTCTTTTTAATAAAGTCAACAAATATCGCACAAGCTATAAAAATGGATTTAAGTTATTTCAACTATAACAATAAGTGCACTTTCTGCTGTGGGCCACATCTGTAATTGTCGGTGTAGGGTGTGAATTACTCTCATTTACGCAAACCCACGTATTTGGTCCAAACACCTTTGTTATCAAAGTAGGGTTTGTTGCGCGAACAAATAATTGCTTCTTTAAAAATGACAGCATACGCTGGCGGTATGGATGCATGCTTATAGAGATTATACAGGAATTCGTAAATCTGAAATAAATGTAAATTTATGAAATTGTTATAACTTTCTGCGTAAGATAAACGCTACCTTTGCCTCCTGATCCTTCCAAAATATGTGATCAGAGAGGTACTGTAGGCTTTCCGGAAACAGAGCAAATCGTTCCTTATCGTCTGTGGCCACCACATCCACAGAGCCAAGCAGCACAGCACACCCAGACAATACATCTACTGCCAATATAAAAATATCCAGTAAATATAGCGCCCTATTGAGTTTCTCTTTGTTCGACGACTCAGCGAGCATCATTTGGATTTCCAGAAACATTTCAGTAATCCAGTTGCATGCATGCTCATCGCTCGCAAAGGCGTATAGTGTGGTGGCCAGGTGACGATAGAAAAAGGGACGTTCCTCCGCTCGACGTTCGTAGGCATCGATTATGGGCGTCAGCCATTTCAGGGGATTCGGCAGTTTGTCGTTATATAAAACCAGATAGCAGCGTATTATCGTTGCCTTCTTTAGTTTCCCCATGGGTGTTTCCCACCAATTGGCAGGCGTGGTCAACCCATCGATTGCATTAGGATGCAGCACAGACACTACTTCGGTGTATCGCTCAAATAGCCTGGAGTCCAGATCCATAGAGTCCATATAGCGCTCAACAATAAGCGTGAATACATCCAGTACCTCGGGTATCTCACACTTGTCCGTGTATATATATCGCACACTATCCAAGAACTTCTCAAACAGACAGCCTGTAAAATATTCTTTAGTCTCATTTCCAGAATATGAATTTTAAAACGTTTGGTTACCTTCCGCAAAGTTATTCAGCTGCGATTCCTTGAAACAGTAGACGGCAACTTTCTCGGCAAAGTTCTTCAGTATTTGGAGGCTCACGCAGTTTCCTATTTCGGGCAGCAGGGAGAAGAGGAGCAGCAGATCCTCCTCAAAGCAGTTGGGCTCAAAGTCAGCGAGAAAATTCTCCAGCAGCCGTCGAGCTGTGCCGCTGTGCATCGCCTGGTTTTTTGCTATCATGATGCAATATTTTCGAGCATCAAATGACAAGTGGAAGAAGCTGGTGAGGCAGCTCCAGTCCATCGGTGGTATTGGCTTAGTGAACCGTTTGGACAGTGCGCGCAGAGCATAGGTGACGGCATAGGGTTCTGGCACATAGTCGCCAAATCGTGCCTGACTCACCAGATAATTGCTGACCGCACGCAATGCACTGGAAGGAAAGAGTCCCCCCAGCTTGCGTGGCTCCGGCTTGCCCTCGGGCAGACGATAGACCCCGCTGCGAAAGCTGCTGATCTCGTTGCCAATGTAGTGGGCAATCAGGTCAGCAGCCGCATCACCGCACTCGGGTCGTATCTTTTGAAGCAGCTGCACCCACACCTCACCTGGAATGGTGTCCTGCTGCTGCGGCTGCTGATGCTGCTGAAAACTGAGCACTTCACGACCGCCTGCAACTGCACTCGGCGGAAGCTCAAAGCAAAACTGCGGCGGTATGTGGCGCAGGCACAGCGTGTTGCCCGGCTCATAGTTCTTGAGCGCTGCAAGCGCCTGCCGCACTTGGGTGGCATCCGTATTGGGACGGCTAATGGCCTGCCACAGCTGCTCCAGTGCATCATCAGCCAGCTTCTCGTACTCCAGCGTCGGAGTTTGCAGCAACGGCACCAGTCCAAACAGGTGATAAAGCGACTTCAGCGTCTGTGGACGCTGCTCGTTGCGAAACTTGCTGCCCAGCGCCTGCCACGTGGAGGCAATGTTCACAGTGTGGCTGTCGCACAGCGCATAGATGGCGTCGAGCGCCAGCGAAGTGGCAAGATCGCCCGACTCATCGATGCAGCTATTCAGCGTGTTGCTCAAATGTGGCAGCAGCTCAGAGCCATGCAGCGTGGGTCTAAAACAAAAGGAGAATAATATTAATTATACATATATAAACTTAACATGTTTTCCTGAAACTTTGTTTACTTTTCCTGGCAGATTTCGCGCATGGCATGCGTACGAGCGATTTCCAGCTCCCAGCGCTTGTCGTTGTCTGGCAGCGGCTGTGCGATTTGCTTCAGCAGGAAGGGATATGTGCGCGACTCTACGCGCCAGAGCCGCAAATACAAATCCACACAGAAGGTGGCATTATCCGTCGACAAATTGCGAATGGTGTTGAGTATCATGGGCACGTTATCCTGACAAGCAACAGAGAATTAAATGGGTGAATCGATATAAGAATGCCACTGCTACGCACCTTGGAAACTGCAAAGTTGGCCAGGCCACGCAGCAGCTCCAGCTGCAGCTCCGGATTGTGCTCGTGGGCGAGCTTGAAGATGTACGTCATGAGGAAGTCATAGGCAATGCTCTCGTTCACCTTGATGATCTGCAGAATGACCTCGTAGATCTTGAACCAGCAGTCGACGGGCGGCTCTCGCGACAGGAAGAGCGCGCGCAGAAACAAATGCAGGCGCTGGCAGAAGGCCGAGTTAGCCTTCACATTCAAGGCATCGACAAAGGCAAACACGTCCTTGCTTTCAGAAACGTCAAAGGACTCCACCAGATTGGCCAGATCAAAGGCAATGGCTATGTCTGGATGATAGTTGCGTATGTGTGCCGGCTGCAGCTCCTTGGTGCAAATGGGCGTTGCAAACTCGGTGTTGTCATCCTGGGGCGGCTTTTGCTGTTCGAGCACGCGGTCAACGATTTGATGGGCTAGCGCCAGGCCCTCTGCGGGTATGAATGCAGTCTGAGACATCCACTGAATGATGCCGTCCAGACACATGTTCAGAATGTATTCATGGCCACAGCGCTCCTGCACCACCACAAACACAATAATGCGCAGCAAATCGGCCAGATAGAAGGGTGACAGCATGTGCAGGCACTCGGCGAGCAGCACCAGCAGCACATGGTAGTGGTTTCGCGTGTGCTCCCGCGTCGCATGCAACACGCGCAGCAGGCACTGCAGGCTGGGGCGCGGATCGATGCCGAATTGGGCCAGCTGCTTGATGAGCTGCGCCTGATAGATGCACAGATCGACCGACTGGGCGTGGTCGGACTGCTGCAGAAAATAGTCGAGGGCCTCAATGACCAGAATGCTGGTGCACAAGCAGGTGCTGGCATTGGTGAACTTGCTCCATGACAGCAACTCCTGCATGAGGGCGCGCGCCTCTGGCTGACTATAACTCAGCCCGAGCAGACACGTCCACATGGGCTTGACGTCCTGCAGTGTCTGCGGATTGCACAGCACATAGAGGAAGACGGGACGCAGAAACTCAATGCTGTACTTTCGAATACTGGAAATACAAACAAAAGAACATATATGTGAATATATCTTTAAATTTAAGAATATGTAGCTTTTCATTACCTCTGATCGTGATGCTGACAGATGCCAATGATCTTGTGACTGACATCGTGCATGTTGGCGCTTGTGTGCTGTATCAATGATATCAGCGGATGCAGCTGCGTCTTCAGCCCATAAGGACACTGATACAGCTCCTTATCCTTCAGCAGCGAAGTCCTGCGCTTCAGACTCAGCAGCTGCAGACCCAGAATGGTCTCCGTTAGAATTGCAAAATGCATTTGTCTGCAGTAACGGTATATAGTAGTCATACGAAATATTAGATGGATTGAAATTAATGTTATATTATTATTACTTTGATAAGTTAATCATTTATATATTGAATAGCACTCGCTGAGGATTTTAAAACTTTAAATGAATATATTTTTGTATAGCTTTAAGCTAAGGTTCATACTTTTATATAGCTATATTGCTAGATTCTTAAATTGTTAAAAAAAATGTACAACACAAAGTTCCTAATTTTTAGTTGGAATATCACTAATTCTCAGGGCTTAAAGGCTTTCACTAAAGAAACATCATTCTTTGTGATACATAAGTCTAAGTACTTAATAATTTATCTATTATGAAGTGCTGTTAAATCTAATTAGTGAGTGTTTTTTGTTGCTTAAAATATATTCAAGCTCCTAGCAATTTAATTTAGGTTATTCAAAAACACCTAATAGCTTCAAAGGTGTTTATTTAAAGACTACGTAACTTTCAAAGAGGGGGTAACACTATAATTTAGGTAATCATAAAGACTCTCAGCTAAAGTCTGCGTGTCTGGCAAAAACAGACCATCTAAGGGGTTAGGGAAAGGGCAGACTGTAGAGTGTGCTGCGTGTGGATGGTAATTGCAAGTGCAAGCGCTGCATTGGATGGGGTTGGGGTAAGGCAGATGGATATCAGTTGCTAGATGCCATTAGGGTTGAGCTGGCTTAACTAGCGTTTAGCACCCACTTCCGTCCCACCGCCTCGCACACTGTCGCCGTTGCAGAGGTGCGGCTGCTGCTCCTGGCACTTGCAGGCAAATCGTTTTGCGTTTGACGCGATAATTACATTTCACACGGCGTCCACATTGGCTGCTCGCCTTAATTGCTGTTTCTGTTGCACAAGGGGCAATTAATATGCAATCCTTTTTGCCAGCACCTGCACCTGCACCGGCACCTGCACCTTGGCTCTTATCAAGGTTAATTTCTGTATTACATGCTGTTTACTTTCACCGTGATTGCATTTGTTGCCGACTGCTGTTGCTGTTGCTGCTGCTGCTGTTGTTTGTGTTAGGTTTGGGGGCGAGTGTCCTTCAAATGTTGGAAATATTTCAAGTTCAATGCCGCACGTTTCACTCTTTCGGCTTGGCTTGCATATCAAATATTTGCCTGGCCAGTAGCTGGCGCGTAATTTGAATATGGCCACTTGGCTATTTGGACATTTGTACCTGTGGCAAGGCCAAGACGCTGTCCTTGATGTATGACTTCCTCTGAGAGTGCGGTCGCGTTACGGAAATGGCTAATAGATTTTTTGGCGTCCTGCATACATAATGCGTGTAACTCAATTGTTTCGTGTCACTGTTGTTGTTGCTGCTGCTGCTGTGTCGAGATTGCGGCCATTGGGTCAGCGGCAGGAAGCTATGTAAATTGCTCACGCACAGACCAGGTCGTAAGTCAATGCCAATGTGCGCGTAAAAGCGTTAACAACTTAGATTTCCTAGTGGTTGGCATGCCTCGTATTTCATTTTCGCATATTAAGAGCGGGCCAATTAATTAGGAAGTATGGTGAGTATTCTCACTCTTGGATGGCGAGCCCTCGATTGCCTGCTAGTCAAATATCCAATTGGCTGGATTGCGCCAGTATGCAGATAGTATTGTAATTTATGCTTCAGAGTTAGCCAATTTTACAGGTGCATTCGCCTGAGTCGCTTTACAATGCCAATCGGCAGACCAACTTCAACGGAAGTGCTCGAGCCGGCGCGCCCGGCTGCCCATAGCATGTGAGTATGTACGTATGAGAGTATATATTTACGTATGTGGGTGTGGGTGTGTGTGTGTGGTGTGTGTGTGAACTTACCCTGCATTGGGCAGCATTGATAGCAGCGTGTTCTGCACACTGTTGGCATCTAGGACAGCCTCGTCGACTAGGCGGACCAGCGTCTGACAGCTCATCAGGCTGAGTTGCATGTGCTCGTGCTTGCATTGGGTTTTCAGGAATTCGATTTCCTTGATTTGGTGCTCGGGCAATTGCTTCTCCTTGGACTCGACGATTTTATTGTAGATCTTCTCCAAGCAGGCGGCTAGCTTCACCACCGACGTATTGGGTTTTATGCTATTGAAGTCCTCCATGGCAGCTGAAACGGCAAAAACGGGAACGACAAAATGTCAGTTAAATGGGACAACTTTATAAGCCACTAATTCGTATGTGAATTTCACTTCCTCGAACAAACACACAAACAACACACACACAGACAGACAGAAACGGGATTTATTGTTTGTTTGGGCACCACACGTATCCCACTTTCGTATACTGCAACGCGCGTGTCCTTTCGCCAGCTCAGCCAACACTCGAATGACGGCGCGGCCTTTTTTTGAACATGCAGCAAAAAGAAACAAAACAATTTCCACGTTGCCCACCTTCACACCTTCGGCTTCTGCTAGCAGCGTGGGCGCTCTGCGCGTGTTTTCAAATGAACGTGTTGTTTGCTCCACATGCAGTTCATCTAACACTAATGTTGATTCTTAAAAACTGACGTTAAGCATATAAGTTTGTTGTTATTAGCTTCTTTGTTTATTAAATTGATTCTATGCGGCACGAATTGTAAACAAACTTTGTGATGAGCGCAAAATGCGCAACACGAACGCAGAAGAGAGCAACGTAAGCGCGCCAAAAACAGCTGTGGAGGCCTGCCGGCGTACGTAAACGCAAATTCAGCTACGTAAGCACAAAGTTTACAGCGTAACGATTAAAGTTATAACGTAGGCGTATTTAAATGCGGCAATTTAAAAACTTGTAAATTATTCGAATTAAAGTAAACTACAATTTTATACGAATTAAAGAAAATTTTTATAAATAACAAATTTTATAACTGCTCTTGCTAATTGCGAGTCTTCAGCCTTAACCAATCATCATTTTTATTCCATTGCCATTTATAATTTTCTTTTAAAGAGAATATTTTTCTTATATTCTTTCCACAGAAGAACTTTGTGCTTTATACAAATTTATGTTGCTATGTTTATAATAAGCTGCGAGTCGCTGCAACGCCGCCCACTTCATGGCAGAGCTGATTTATATCACGCTTAGTTAAGCTGCTACAACTTTTGCGCTGCTCTTTCAGTTAATTGAGTTTATGCATTTCTGCAAAGCGCCCTGCCGTAAAATAAAATTAATTATACTCCTGCAGCCATAAAAATTGAAGCCAGCTAAAAAGGGCGAAGACTCAAAGCTGAATGAGCCAAAGGTAACCAAATCTCATAAATGAGAGTCGGCACTAAAAAGCGAGCAAAGTTACTGTGACCCACAAGAATTCTATGTACTAACTTGACGAATAAAATAAGTATAGCAAAATTGCGAGCTGCAATCGTTCATTTCGCAGCCGAAGCAAATGTATAGACTCAAAGGCTGAGATAACAAAGCCTTAAACGAAGACAACCCAACATCATTTCCGCTCTCCTGCCAAAAGCCACCAACAAAACTCAGTTACAAAATTCCTTTTTTTCTTTTTTTTTTTGCTGTTCTTTTAGCCAGCCTGGTTTGGCCTTAACCTCACATCGGTTTGGCCGGAGACTTATAATTTTATTACGGCATCGCGATGCATAGCCCCAACCTGTGAAATGCGCCGTGAAAGTTTTTGCTTTTTTCCTTTAGAGTTTTTTATACGCTGCGCAACAGTGAAAATAAGGGAAGCGGGTATATGGGTTTTATTAAAATGTATGTAACAGGTAGGTGAACGGCGCGGTGAAACATGTATTTTGGTATGGGTTAATAGTCAAATCAACATAACATGAATTATATCTTCTATATCAAATATAGGTCATACTTTCCTCAACTTTCCTTTAAAAATAGAAATTTGTTCAGTTAAAATTTGACTAGCGTATGCTACAGGGTATTAGCTCACCGGTCTCTCATCCTTACACTCCATATATTTTTTTCTGCACCTTTTTCAGTTGGTGAACTTTTTACATCTCATCGTGAGTAGCCAGAGTCATCAAAGGAACAAAGCCAGCGCCGATTTGCTCTGCATCACTATCATCGCCATTTATCTGGGCAAAAAACTTTTCTTCTTCYTCTTCCTTTTTAAACATTTTTAATGTACGTATACGTTCTCGGTGACTGATGCTGTTTGGCTATCTGATGTTGTAGTACCGGGCCCCAGCTGTTAATCTGCATTGGTTAGGTTGTTTAATATAGAACAGCATTTTTTGTTGTTGTAACTTTATGCATATTTATAAGGTATATATATTTGTACACCCTGAACTTTGTGAAAATGGGATATCAATATTTCCTCCAGGTATTTCCTCGAAATGTTTCTTCTAAGTGTTCCCTCTACGAATTTCTTCTTGCTTTAAAAATTTATTCTAAGTGTCTCCTCCAAGTCTTTTATGCTTAGCTGAGCGATCACACATTCTACTGTACGACTCACTGATTAGACCTGGGCGACTGAAGAAATGCTGCTGCTGCTGCCCTTTATATAGGGGCACTTTCACTCAAAGAGACGGGCGACAGGTAGGGGTCGTTGCAGCCGACCTATAAATGACCGATGGGAACACTCTCTGCGTCGTCAAGCATTGTAACTTCGTTTTACTCAAATATAAATGTTAAATGAGTACATTTAAACAACTTAAACGATCTTCATCCCTTGCTCTTGTTAGGCAGTCAGAGAGAGATAGGCAGAGAGGCAGATATACGAACAGTTATAGTGATAAACAAACATGCATAGTTAAATCGGATTATTTCATTACGCTGCTCTAAGAATATAAATGCTTTATAATGCTGCTTGCAGCCCCATGCAGGCATGTGTGTGTGTGAGTGTGTGTATGCGTATGTGAATGTGCTTTTTCTTGTGTAAGCAGTCTCGGCTAGGGCTTCCTTGCTTGTTTTATATTATATATA